ACCCCTATAATGCGAATGTTGTTGCGTTTAATGTTTTCCCAGATGTCTCTTAGGCTGTCTTCATTTCTTTTCATTCTTTTTTCTTTAGTCTGTTCCGCAGCAGTGAATTCCACCATTTTGTCTTCCAGGTCACTTATCCGTTCTTCTGCCTCAGTTATTCTGCTATTGATTCCTTCTAGTGTAGTTTTCATTTCGGTTATTGTATTGTTCATCTCTGCTTGTTTGTTCTTTAATTCTTCTAGGTCTTTGTTAAACATTTCTTGCATCTTCTCGACCTTTGCCTCCATTCTTTTTCTGAGGTCCTAGATCATCTTCACTGTCATTATTCTGAATTCTTTTTCTGGAAGGTTGCCTATATCCACTTCATTTAGTTGTTTTTCTGGGGTTTTATCTTGTTTCTTCATCTGGAACATAGCCCTCTGCCTTTTCATCTTGTCTTTCTGTGAATGTGGATTTTGTTCCACGGGCTGCAGGACTGTAGTTCTTCTTGCTTCTGCTGTCTGCCTTCTGGTGGATAAGGCTATCTAAGAGGCTTGTGCAAGTTTCCTGATGGGTGGGACTGATGGTGGGTAGAGCTGGCTGTTGCTCTCGAGGTTGCCTTCTAATGGATAAGAATAGCTAACATTTATGAAGCACTTCCTATGTTCTGAGCTCTTCACTTCCTGAACTCACTGAATTCTCACCACAACCCAGTAAGGTATGTTTGTATGGTATTATCTCCATTCTTGCTAAAATGCAGTTTCATTCTTCAGAGATATAAATGGAGATCACCTTCAAAAACGCTTACCCTGAAGAGATGGGACACTTGAGACCGATGGATAGTTGTATCTGTGATAGAGCCAAGATGGATGAGAGGGTCAAGGTTATGCCTATCAAATGTTTACTGGACTTTCGCTTTCAAATGGGATATGAACGCTCCCGTCACAACTTGGGTAGGTCACTTAAGCTCACTGTGACTCACTTTCCTGATCTCACTTTTCCTGTAGTTTCAGGCTGCCCTCTGAATCATAAAAAGGAAATAGACATGACCCCACTGTATCCTCACTGAGACAGGAAATAGACTACCTCCCTTTGGTTTCTAAAGCTCCACTTAAAATATGCCCTTGAGGCATCCTACCATTTGCAACAACATGGATGAAACTTCAGGGCATTATGCTAATGAAGTAAGTCAGGCAGAGGAAGACAAATACTTCAAGGTATCACTTAAATATGGAATCTAAAAGGCTAAACTCATAAAACAAGAGAGTAGAACAGTGGTTACCAGGGACTGGGAGGTGGGGGAAATGACAGCATCTTATTAAGATACTATCAAAAATGACATTAATGCCATGCTTTAATGAAAAGTTATGATATTTTGCAAACAAAAATCATAGTGAGAACAGAGACATTCTTTCATAATTCTGAAAAGCTCTGATATCTGGCTTAAGAGAAGACAGCTAGATCTCATATCTGCTTCTGCATTCAGTCTGTTGCAATATCACATATCATAAAGCCTCTGGAAAACTCCATTGTACATTTGTGAAAAAATGAGACTGAAGAGGTAAATAATGTCTTGGTATTACAATGAAATTAGTTTTGACCTAGTGGCCCCTCAGAAAGGGTCTTGGTTCCTGAGACTACATCATGAGAACTGTTCTTAAATGTCCTATTTCTCTCAAGTTATTGTGGAATCTTCATGATTCTTTGCTGAATGGGGGAACATGTGAGTTAATGACTATTGTACTGTAATCTAATCACAGTTTTAGTTTCCTATGGCTGCTGTATCAAATTATCATAAATTTTGTGGCTTAAAGCAATGCAACTTTATTACCATACAGTTCCGGGGATCAGAGTCCAAAATGGGTCTCACTGCGCTACAATCAAGATGTCAGCAGGGGCTTCCCTGGTGGCGCAGTAGTTAAGAATCTGCCTGCCAATGCAGGGGACACGGGTTTGATCACTAGTCTGGCAAGATCCCACATGCTGCAGAGCAACTAGGCACATGCACCACAACTGCTGAATCCCGCGCGCCTAGAGCCCGTGCTCCGAAATGAGAAGCCACCTCAACGAGAAGCCCATGCACCACAACGAAGAGTAGCCCCCACTCACCACAACTAGAGAAAGACTGCACGCAACAACGAAGACCCAACACAGCCAAAAATAAATTTATGTTTTAAAAATGTTAGCAGGACCGCATTCCTTTCTGGAGGCTTTAGGGGAGATTTTGTTTCTGGCTCTTCCAGACTCTAGGCTGCCAGCATTCCCTGGCTCATGACCCTTTCCGTCTTCAAAGCTAGCAATGGCTGGTCAAGTCTTCCTCAGGGTGCATCACTCTGACACTCACTCTTCTGTCTCCTCCTTCTCTATTTAAAGGACCTTGTGATTACTGTGAGCCCACCTAGATAATTCAGGATAATCTTATCATTTTAAGGTCAAGTAATTAGCAACCTTAATTCCCCCTGTAATCTTAATGCCCTTGCCACATAACATAACCTCTTCACACGTTCTGGGGATTGGGATGTGGACATCTTTAAGAGGCCATTATTGTGCTTATCACACTCATTCTCAGTGAGCTAAAGATCTGAGGGAGGGTGTGGTGAGAAAATTCTGAGTCACACTTTCCCTTCCCTACACATGTAAAAGCAAATGGAGCATTGGGCTCATATCAGCTGGGCTCCTTCAGGAAAAGGATAATCACCCACTGGGACAGGAAAAACATCAGGATACTCTTGGATCTCTATGCGGGTGCTGGGAGGGCCAGAAAACCGATATTCCCTCCAACAACCTCTCTGATGTGTGATTTGTATAAACATTTGTAAGGGATGCCTCATCCCTCCTCCAAGTAAATTTTGTTTTGGTGAAGTTTCACCCCACTTTGTAAAATGGCAAATACTGCTCAAAATATTGTAACCATGTGTATAGAAAATTTACTTTTAAAATTTGTTATGGAGAAAAGTAAAAAAAGAAAATTGAAAAATATGTCTTTGCCTGAAAAGTGAATGTTATAGACAAGTTGCTTGGATTTGAAAGAAAGACTGTGGAGGCACTGATAGGGCTCTATGCTAACACTTGTGGCTGCAATAACCCTCAGTCCCCTAGTAAGAATTTCAACATAAAAGTCTTACCAGCCACAATGTGACTGAGCATGGGGCCCCAGCATCAATCTCCGTGTGTCTCTCATGGAGAACGCTGAATCGGGTATCTATGAACCAAGACATACACGCCATGGCATGCAGCCTCCAACCATACTGTGACTTCAACCTCCTATGCTGGCAGAGGTCACCGACACATGGCTGGCCTACGCAGTGATTCTCTTTAATATAGTGATTGTCTTTCTCTGAGAGACTGCCCAAACTAACTTATGAGGTCATATGTCCCTTTAACCCACCTCCCTTCTCATTAGCTTGCTCCTTTCTTAGCTTGTTGAAGGAAAAAAATGTAAATGTTGCATTAACCGCACGCATGCATGCGTGTGTGTGAGTGACCAGTAGTGGCTCTTGGCATTTCCTATTCTTGGCCAGAGCAAACACAAGAGTTTCACTTTTTTTTTTTTTAATTATGAAAAAATTTAATGAGCGAAAAAAGGGAGGGGGGAGTTGAAAATGTCTTTGTAGTCTAGTGAAGAGTTTCACTTTTAATCTTGAGAAAAATACTAAGAATTAATCATGTTCTGTATTCACTTCCCCCTCATCCCAAACAGACAAACATACAAACAACTGGAAAGGCCAACACTCCCTTTCTCCTGACCCTCCAGAAGCTTGAGACCAGGAGGGGGGCACGGGAGAGAGGGGCTGGAATCAGAAATGAACATGTAGTGGGGGGCGATTATGACCCCAAAGTGGGTGGGAGCTGAGGTCTTTTGTAGGAAAAGTTGAAGAGACCTGGATAATTTGGGGACCAACGGGGATGAAAAGAATAGTAAGCAGGAAGGACCCTGTTCACACAGCAGCTCACGGCATGATCTAGAGACAAAGATAATCTTTAAAACAAAATGTTTTAAAGGAGTTGGAGCAAGTTCTGCAGAATACACACAATTTACATATGATGCTATTTACATATGGTTTAAGTGTATATAAATGTAAAAAAAGCCATGCATCAATGAGTGACATATATACCTGTAATAAAAGTATAAAGAACTACATGGGATACTAACTTAAAATTCAGAAAATTATACTGGTTATCAGGTGAGTAGGGGACAGGCTGGATGAGGGAAGGAAACCAGTGCGGGATACACACAGGTTCTGCTAATAATTTGTCATTTAAGCTGGTTAGTGAATACATAGGTGTTGAATGTATTATTATTTTTGTACTTTCATATACCTTAGCTATTTAACAATGCTTTTAAAAATTAAAGAACCATCCCCTAACCCCAGTCCCCAGAGATGACCACAGGTGATGTCCAGACGTTTCCCTCCACTATGATTTTCCAGTAACTGGCCAGCATCCCCGTTGTTCCCCTGGGCGGCCCCAGCTCGGCAGAATCCCTTGCTCAGCGGGGCCTTGTCCGTTCTGGGCAGTGATTTGAATGTGCTTGGGCAGCGAGTTAGACCCACCAGAGACGTTTGTAGTCCTAAGATGACCTTTTTCAAGCCCCTTTCCCATTAGCTCAAAGCTTCGGATACACCCCATCCCCAAAGGGTCTGGTTGGACCTGATCCTTGACCAGGTCTTGAGAAGTAAACTAGTAAAGTGAGAGTCCCCGGGCCAGACTGCAGCGGCTAAATCCCTGTCTGCCCCAGGCTCCATAGGCAGCCTCAGTTTCTTCAGCCCAGTTCACTCAGACCTCGAGTTCTTGGGGAGAAGGTGGGAGAGAGAGTGTTTGCTGGGAAGGCTCCAGTGGTCCCTGTGAGCTGGAAGTGATGAGATGGAGAAACATCTATTTAAAAGAATTTTAACTGCTGATTTTGCTTTGTAAATAAATAAAAGACTTTTAAGAGGTCGGAGGAAGACAGGAGGGTGCCTCAGGGAGGGACCCGACAAAATGCTCCAAGGGTCCCCAAGGGTACTTACACCCCCGGGACCATGGCCTCCAATCAGTGCCCAGGCAGCCAGTTCCTCACCTCCTTCGCCACGCTGGGCCGCCCCTCTGGCTCTCCGCAAGGTCACCGCGGAGCAGTGGTGCGCCTCCAGCTCGTCCAAGTCCGGAGAGTCACAGGTGGAGTCTGAGCGAGCGTGGAGCCAGACCCTTTGCGAGCGCCCAGAACACGTTTGGTGATAGAATCAGGCTGGGTGAACTGAAAACTGATGGTTCTGCACAAGACTTGGGTGTGATGAGGTCTGCAGTGGACAGATGAATCAAAAGGACAGTTTCTCTTTTCTTTCACTGAAATTCCATCGTGTGAGCCTGGCGGAGTTCTCCCAAGTGACGACACTCTCGGCCGGTCTCCTTTGGAGTCCTTAGCAACAGTCATCACCCTTTTACAAATTCAAGTACCTTAAAAGAAAAGAGGCAGAATCAACTTTCTCCAGTTATGGGGTGGAGATGGAACGAAGGCAAAAGCTTCATTTACCGCATTGCGCTCAGCACAGCGCAGGGCCCAGGAAGGCAATTCAAGCCGGAGTCTAGGGGCACGGAGGCCTTGCGGGGGAGACAGCTGCAGAGTGCACTGAGCCTGGGTAGTCCCAGGAAGGGCTGGAGTGGGGCCGGGGAGGGCTGGGGGATGTGGGCTTGCATTGGGATCCCCTCTACCCCCGCCCACCTGGGTGGGGTAGAGAACTGCAAATCTCAAAAAAATTAATCAGAAAACACAGAAAAGCAACAAAGAAGCCCCCTCTCCCCAAAACAAAACGTTGCACCCATATACACCAAAGGTAACCAGGGCTGTTGTCCTTGCAGGAGTGGGCTTCCCGGTCCACAGAGGCGATACTGCTGGGCTGTCGCTCTGCCTCCAGTGTGGTCCTCCCTGTCACCTCCACTCCCGTGAGGGGTTACCGAGTGTAACTGATACAAGGCCCTCACCCAGAGGGATCAAAACCTTTGCTTTGGAATCAGGAGGAGCATGCTGCAGAGGGGACACTTGGCAGGTAATGAGTCCCCCGCACTCCTCTGCGCAGGTCCTGAGAAGCTTGGCTTCTTTCCCTCCCCAGGTCCTCACCTGGTTCCCCGACCAGGCTGTGGCACTGCCCTGGGAGATCTGGTTTGTTGGTTCTCAGAAGCAACTTCCAACAATAGGCGGACAGTGGAGGATCTGGCAGCTGGGACGCTTGGAACTCCAGGAGAGCCAGGGAGAGGATGAGGATGAGGTGCACAGTATCAGGGCCTAAATCTTACCAAACCATGTCTAGTAAAATTTCCCCATGGTTCAGAAGCACGAAGAACTTTAGAGGAAGCAACTAAACCAGACACCGAGGCTCCTAAAGATGAAGGCAGTGAGATGGTGGGCCTGGGGCAAATAAGTCAGTGTCCAGTTAATTACAAAAGGTTGTGTTCTGCAAACTGCCTGTAAGCCCCTGGCTTGGAATGTCAGTCCTCAAACCGTTAACAGCATGGGGCAGGGTGGGTGGGCTCCCAGGGTAGACCACAAAGCCCTGTATCCCCCATCAAGTGGCTAACTAGAGCTCTGGTGTGCTGTGTCTGCAGAGGCTAGGCTGTGGTGATTCCGTTCCCCTTCTGCACGTGACTGTCATAAGGAAATTCTTAAGGACTAGTGCAGTAGGGAGGGGATGCCTGACAGTGGGACTTCTGCGTTGGCTCCTCCCAGTTCCCAGACCCATGGTGGATCTCCAAAGGGCAGAGCCTCCAGGAGGGGATGGTGGCTGTGGATAACGTTTGCCTGGCCATCCTCTATTGGAAGGTGGTGAGGCTATGCCTACCTTGATGGGGAAACAGAAACTGATTCCATTTCAATCTGTCAGGGGTGGGGATGAGAGTTCTTTTGGCCAGAGAAGGAGGGAAGATAAGCCACTAAGCCTGACAGCTTCCTGTGACAGAAATGTTCATTTAAATGTCACAAGACTCTTCAAGTCTTTTGCTTAAATAAGAAAATGGGCAATCACAAATTTTAGGACCTTCTTGCAAGTGGACAAAGAGTGAAATAAGATGATCCGCTTGTGCCCTGATTATGAAATTTCACAGGTGTTTATGCCTATCAGAAAACAAATCAATTTCAGTATTGTCATGACAACAGAACATTAAGTAAACAATGGTTCATAGTTACAGTATCTTTCATGGCTAACACACAGGTTCACAGGCCAGAGTAACAGTCTCTAAAGAACAGGTGTCTTGGAAGACTCCTTTGCTAGAAAAAAAATCTACAAGGGCAATATTTTTTTTAATGTTTTATTTATTTTATTTATTTTTGGCTGCGTTGGGTCTTTGTTGCTATGCACGGGCTTTCTCTAGTTGCAGCGAGCGGGGGCTACTTTTCGTTGCAGTGTGTGGGCTTCTCATTGTGGTGTCTTCTCTTGTTGTGGAGCATGGGCTCTAGATACACAGGCTTCGGTAGTTGTGGCTCGCAGGCTCTAGAGCACAGGCTCAGTAGTTGTTGCACACAGGTTAAGTTGCTCCTCAGCATGTGGGATCTTCTCAGACCAGGGCTTGAACCCGCGTACCCTGCACTGGCAGGCAGATTCTCAACCACTGTGCCACCAGGGAAGCCCCTACAAGGGCAATTTTATGAAATGCAATACTTTCTGTTTTAATGCACCTATAAGGGAGGAGACAGCATTTTCTCTTATTTTGTTGAGGTAATTTTCAGTAGTAGTTAGGAAGGCCTGCTGTTTTCCACACCAAGCACTAGATTTCCACTGAGAAAGGACTTGGCAGGCCTGAGAAGTGTAAATTTACAATATGTAAAACAAAGGACAGGGTGGGGTGGTGATTATTATCAAATGAATATGGCGGCAAAGGTCTCCACCTGGAGTATGTAGAATTTCAGACTCTATACCACTAATCTTATCATAGATTTAGTTTCTATGGAAAAAAACTTAACAATAGCAGGCACTTAAATATCCTACTGATTTTTGAGCTAATTATAGTAAGTCCCCTACATATGAACCTTCAAGTTTTGAACTTTCAAAGATGCGAATGTGCATTCACATGTCCAATCACGTTAGTTCACGTGTCTGTCGTACACTGTCACATGCTGCATCCTCTACAAGTGGTTGTGCTTTTGTGTACTTTACTGTATAGTACTGTATAGAACACAGTAGTATAGTATCTTTATTTCAAGCCCAGGATGTCCGGAAGTAAGTGTAAAAGCAGTGGTGATGTAGCTGGTACTACTGTACTTTTTAAGGTACTATACTGTAAGATTAAAAATGTTTTATTTTTTGTGTTTGTTTTTTATGTATCATTTCTGTGAAAAGTATTTAAATCTATTACAGTACAGTACGATATAGCCAATTGTGTTAGTTGGGTACCTCGGCTAACTTTGTTGGACTTACGAACAAACTGGACTTACGAACGTGCCCTCAGAACGGAACTCGTTCGTGTGTAGGGGACTTACTGTATAATAAAATATTTTTACTTATGTCTTCACATTCACATATGTAGTTTTTAATAGAGTTATTTGGGTGTTTTTGACAAATAATAAACTGCACATAAAGTGTACAATTTCATAAATTTTGACATGTGAACATATCACTGCAATCAAGGTAGTGAACATATATACCATTCCCCAAAATGCTTTTTTGCAATCTCTCCCTCCCACTTCTCCATACCCTGCCACCATCCCTAAGAAACAATTGATTGGCTTCCTGTCGCTATAGAATAGTTTGCATTTTCTAGACTTTTATACAAATGGAATCAAATATGCACTCTTTTTTAGTTTGGCTTCTTTCACTCAGAATAATTATTCTGAGGTTTATTCATGTTGTGGGTACCAATAGTTCTTTCATTTTTTATTTCTGTATTGTATTTCATTGTTTGGATAACTAAAATTTGTTTCTGTTGATGGGCATTTGGGTTGTTTCCAGTTTATGACTTTTACAAATAAAAGTGTTATGAACATTCATGTACAAGTCTTTGTACGGATATGTTTTCATTTCTCTTGGGTAAATACTTAGGAGTGGAATGACTGGGTCATACAGTAAATGTATAAAAATACCAAACTCTTTCCAAAAATGGTTGTACTTTATGTTCCTACCAGGAGTGTATGAGAGTTCCCTTTCCTCCATATCCTTGCAGACACCTGGTATGGTTAATAATTTTCCCCATTCTAATAGGTGTGTAGTTTTGTTTTGTTTTTAAAGATTTTTTTGATGTGGACCATCTTTTTTAAAGTTTTTATTGAATTTGTTACAACATCGTTTCTGCTCTATGTTTTGGTTTGGGGTTTTTTTTGGCCACGAGGCATGAAGGATCTCAGCCACCTGACCAGGGATCGAACCCGCACCCCCCCGCACTGGAAGGCAAAGTCCCAACCACTGGACCGCCAGGGAAGTCCCAGGTGTGCAGTTTTAATTGGTATTTCCCTAATGACTAATGGTGCTATCTCACTGTAGTTTTTTTTTAAATGATATTTATTTATTTATTTATTTTTTGGCCACACTGCACAGTTTGTGGGATCTTAGTTCTCCAACCAGGGATTGAACCCATGCCCCCTGCAGTGGAAGCTTGAAGCCCTAACCACTGGGCAGCCAGGGTATTCCCTCTTTTACCCATTTTTAAATTGGGTTGTTTGTTTTCTTATTATTGCCTTTCAAGAGTTCTATATATAATCTAGATACAAGTTCTTAATCATATAATCATCTACAAATAGTTTCTTCTGGTCAAGGGCTCATATTTTCATTCTCTTAAGAGTGTCTTTCACTGTTAAGGAAACGTTCTTAAAGTCCAATATATCAATTTTTTTCTTTTATGTATTGTGCATTTAGTGTCAGCTTTAAGAAATGTTTGCTGAACTCAAGGTAAATATTTTCTCCTATGTTTTCCTCTAGAAGTTCTGAAGTTGAGAGACTGAATATACTAATGGACACTGGCCAGAACATATATAAAAACAGAACTCTGACTCACAACCTTGAGTTGTGACTCACAACTTGACACAACTCTGATTTCCCAACCAGCTTGGGAAACCTAACCACAACGCCTGCAGCAGCTGGCCAAAAGTGGTCAGGACTTGCTCAACACCTGCTAGCGTCCTTAACTTCTGCCCCCACTCCAACTCAGGACCAACCGAAGAAAGCCAAATAGGCTCTCCAAACCAGTGACATGAGATGCCCCACTTCCAGTAAGCCTGCTTCCAGCTTCCCTAGATCCACAAACTCAGATCAGAGCATCCCTGAGCCTTCTCTCTCTCTTTTCACTATAAAGCTTCCACATTCCTCTGCCTGTGCTTGAGTTTCTGCCATCATAAGTGATGGTGGCCAATTCCCTTGATATAGTGAGCTCTGAGAAAATAGCCTCTGCTTGTTCTCATGTGGGCAGTCTTCATTTATTTCCACATGATTTTAGGTTTTACATTTAGGTCTATGACACATTTTAAGTATATTTTTGTAAGTGGGGTAAATATGAGTTGAGGTTCATTTCTTTTGTATGAAGATATCCAATGGTTCCAGTCCTATTTGCTGGGACAACTGGACTGCATTTAGGAAATGCTGAAACCCACCTCAACCTGACAGCCTGGTTGTTCCAAACAAATAGTCAATAATTTGTAAGTTCCAAACAAATTTATATATATATATATATATATATAAAAATATATATATATAAATACATATATATAACGTATACAATACATTTCTATTACAAAAACATATAATATATTAAAGTATATGATATACATTTTTTTTTCACAAGATGGGAACTGCAAGAACCAGAGGAAGCTAAAGAATCTGTTCCATTACAATAAGGATAAATTATCAACTCAATCAGATTTTCTGCTTCCAAAAATTGGGCTATAAAGTAATCTGAGGCCTTCCCTGGTGGCGCGGTGGTTAAGAATCCACCTGCCAATGCAGGGGACACAGGTTCGAGCCCTGGTCCGGGAAGATCCCACATGCCGCGGAGCAACTAAGCCCGTGCACCACAACTACTGAGCCTGCGAGCCACAACAACTGAAGCCTGCGTGCCTAGAGCCCGTGCTCTGCAACGAGAAGCCACCACAATAAGAAGCCTGCGCACCACAACAGAGAGTAGCACCCACTCGCCACAACTAGAGAAAGCCCGTGCACAGCAATGAAGACCCAACAAAGCCAAAAATAAATAAATAAAATAAATAAATTTATTAAAAATAATAATAATAATCTGAGACTGCCCAGGTCTCAGTGAGAGAGGAAAGACAAAGCACCAAGAAAAACAATACACATCAGCACACCCTAGAGACACCCTGAAAGCTCTTCAATTGCCAAGGAGAACCTGGCAGAAACTGTTACCAAAATCACAGCATAAAAATCACCTCTTGACCGTTTCTCTGGTGGCAGTGGGCTTCCACCAGACTTAGCTCCTCAACCTGCCCTGCATACTTAATCCCTGCATGAATCTGGCCTCAAGCTCTGTGGGAATAAATGAAGTGAACAACTTCAGAAGAATGGCCTCAAACTGTCCATTTTCCCACCTTCCCTATCCTTGGCCTATTCTAATGGTGTATCTTCCTGTTTTTTAGGAGAACATTTCAGGGTAAGAACAGGAAAAGTGCTGAGAAGATGAGTCTCAAGATTGATTTGGAGGGACTTCCCTGGTGGTGCAGTGGTTAGGAATCCGCCTGCCAATGCAAGGAACATGGGTTCAAGCCCTGGTCCGGGAAGATTCCACATGCCACGGAGCAACTAAGCCCATGTTCCACAACTACTGAGCCTGCGCTGTAGAGCCCGTGAGCCACAACTACTGAGCCCATGCCACAACTACTGAGCCTGCGTTCAAGAGCCCGTGAGCCACAACTACTGAAGACCGCGTGCCTAGAGCCCATGCTCTGCAACAAGAGAAGCCACCTCAATGAGAAGCCCACATACTGCAACAAAGAGTAGCCCCTGCTTGCTGCAACTAGAGAAAGCCTGCGTGCAGCAACAAACACTCCATGTGGCCAAAAATAAAAATACATAAATTTATTTTTAAAAAATTGATTTGGAAATGAACTTTGTATGTTTTAAATGCAGGAAAAGTCACCCCTGGGAATGAGCAAAGGAGTGGAATGAACCCTAAACTGCAGAAGAAACAGCATGAAAGCATCGTGCATGCAATATGTGCTCTGCTGAATTCCAGAGGGGGAGTGGTCAAGGCTGAGACTGAGAACAAAGACTATAATTATGATAGTCATGGAGTAGGATTGTATCTGCCTTCAACTTTCAAAGGCTATTTAGATGAGATGCAGCAGGGATATCTCTTTTTGATCTTTGTGAAATCATGGATGCCAAAGGCCTCTGGTATATGATTTGCTTACCTGTGCTCCTCTTTGTGCCACAGACATAGAACATGTACTAATGTCATGAATCCTCAGGAAGCACTGGCATTCCCCAAAGGCAGGATTCAGACTCTTACAAATATTAATGATTCCAATTCATTAAGTCCACAGAAATTTCAGGTTCGTGTACAAAATGAAGGTAACATAAAGGCTTCAGCTTCTGCTTTATTTGATAGCACTCACCACCTTCAGTACCAGGAAAAGTTCAACTTTACTAAGTCCACACGCGTTGAATTTAAGATGTTCTCAACAGAGATGACACAATGCTTTACCCAAGTGTGTTTCTGCATTTGCAAACACTGAGGTAGGGTAAGTATTTTTTGGCCTGCATGATGAGACCCATCAAGTCACTGGATGTGAAAAAGAGAAAACAGATCTTGCCACCTTGAGGGCTTCTACTGATCGCTATATTAGGAAGTTACCAGTCCATCATTTCTGTACACAGAGGTGTGAGATAAAATATGCCACAAAATTCGTTGCAGTACACAAGCAGGGGGCCCTCCATGGATATGTCTGTGCAGTCAGCATGGAACGATTCTGCTGTGCAGTGTTTGCCAAAGTGCATAATTCCTGGTGGGTGAAGGACAATCGTGTGAGAGAGCTGGCCACAAGGAATGGGAATAGAATCATCAATGATTTTAATGTTTGCTGAGATGGGAGGAGGTGAGGAAGGAGGAAAGGGAGATATTATTTTAGAATCTGGGAAAAGAGAGGTACCCTCAGAGTTGCAGATGCCTGACATTAATTCCTATAGATACAGTTGGTGGGTCATTGCCCCTCTTTCCCTCTGCCCATCTTGAATATCCTGCATTCAACAAATAGATGCTCTGGCCTAGTAGACCCACTAGAGGTTGGTGCAGAAGGCTGTTTGACCTAGCAATTTCTGTTTCCACATCCTTTCTTGTGTTCATATTCAAGTCTCTTCTTTCCCTTTCTAATTATGAACTCACATTTACTTATACAGGAAATTCCTTTTTCACATGTACCTATGTGTCTTCTTTAATTTACTGTCACTTTTCCTTGCCTCTGCATTCTTGTAATGGTTCCCTCATCAAATATTCTCCCTTCCTCATAGCCTCACTTCCAATTTTGAACAAAAACACAATCAAACCTCTCTTCTCTCTTTTCCTTTCAAAAGCCAACATGTGATGCTAACCATGACTGATAGGCTGAAGAGTAGTGTTGGTGATATGCATGCACCTTGGAAAAGGAAAGCCTGAGATAATATCAGACAAAAGAAAATCAATCGTAACTTCAAGAAGAGTCCAGAAAAACAAAGTCCATTTCAGGATCTTCTCAGAAATCTATATTCATTGACCTTCACATCTTCTAGTCATATTTTTTTTAAAAATATAAGCACTATATATATAGTGCTTATATTTATAATATATATATACATATCCATATATATATATTTAGAGATATGCTCAGGAGTGCTCATAGACTCACTATCTGCAATGGCCCCAAACAGGAAAACAACCAAATTATTTATTGACACAACAATGGATAAATGTATTATAGTATATTTGCATAATGGAGTATTATTCAGCAGTGAAAACGAAATAGGGATAGAGTAGGATAATTAAATAGTTTAGAAATCCCACCAGAGGATTAAAGACAAAGAGGGAATTTTAAGGGAGTTTGGGAGACTGCTGTAAGCTAATGAGCACTCAAGAAAAGAATCCAGTAACTTAGCAACAATCTACACTACCTTGAAGGAAGACCAGGTGCATCCAAGCACCAGGCACACTCAAGCTACAAGTTCTTACAGTTAAAACACAAGACAATAGACATGGGGTTTGAATCTTGTTACATGAAGTCACGGAGTTAATGATCCTTGACGAGTAGCATTTCTGCATGTAGCCAAGAGAGGAATAGGTGAAAGGAGAAAGAAACTAGGTGAAGGGGGACATTATACTGAAACCTGAATGAATTACCACATTTTAGTATATGTTACCACACTTTTGCTAATATACATACGATTTGAATAGCGCCATGACAGTCCCGGTTAGATCATATAGGGTTCAAGGAGGATCTAATGATGTAAGCCTGTAACAGGGGCGGGGCAGGCATGAAGTTGCTAGTGTGTGACCCTTAGCATGGTGGTTAGAGGTCCCACACATGTAACAGTCAGTCACACAGGTCCTGGAGGCAGAGTATGGTAAGAGGCAGATCGTGGCCTTCTCCCAGGGCCCTCCAGGCCCTCCAGCCTCAGGACTGGCAGGTGAGCTGGGGGTCCTGGGGACAGGCTGAGGGCTGTGTCCTGCAGAGCTCCAGAGCCCTCTCCATGGCCACCCACTGGTCGAGCCTGGGCACTGGTGGAAAGACCCAGACCAAGTGCTGGACGAACGTTCCCATGCAGGGTAACTGGCCCGCCCAGGGACTCCCTCTTAGCCAGGGCCTGGGCCTCAGAGGGTGAAAGCTGAGCCTTAGGACCTTGCCCTTTCTTGTCAGAACAGAGAATAACATTTGTTTTGGTGGAGGTTTACAGGAACATTGTGACCTGCCCGTGACCTGACCTCAAGAACAAGGGATCTGGTGCTTCCCTGGTGGCGCAGTGGTTAAGAATCCACCTGCCAATGCAGGGGACACGGGGTTCGAGCCCTGGTCTGGGAAGATCCCACATGCTGTGGAACAACTAAGCCTGTGCGCCACAACTACTGAGCCTGTGCTCTAGAGCCCACGTGCCACAACTACTGAAGCCCATGCACCTAGAGCCCGTGCTCCGCAATGAGAAGCCACCGCGATGAGAAGCCCGTGCAACAAAACGATGAGTAGGCTCCCCTCGCCACAACTAGAGAAAGTCCGCGTGCAGCAACGAAGACCCAACACAGCCAAAAATAACATAAATAAAAACAAATTTTAAAAGAACAAAGGATCTGACACCAAGAAGTTTGCAACAACTAACCACACCCCTCTCTCACCTTTCCTATAAAAGGGCTTTGCTGAAAGCTTTCGGGGAGTTCAGGGTTTTAAAGGCATGAGCCACCTGTCTCCTTGCATGGCCCTGCAATAAAACTTTCTCTGCTCCAAACTCCTACATTTTGGGATTGTTTGGCCTCACTGTGCGTCGGGCACATATGAAGAAGGAGGTCTTCTCCCCTCCCCACTCTTTCTTTGATTACAAAAATGCAGCCCCTTTTGTTCTCAGGGTTGCGCTCCCTTGCCTGCCCGCTTGTATCTCCCACAAGTGTCCTATGCTAATAAACTCAGCTTACCACTCTGCCTCATGCTGAATTCTTTCTGCAAGGAGAAAAAAGAACCTGAGCTTCAGTTTAAGTCCTGACACCAAGTGAGCGGTTTTAATTAAAAGACAGTGGGTATGAATCCCCTCCTAAAACAGGGATCCTGGGTTCAAGTTCCAGTCCCATCCGAGAAGGACTGTGGCTTCAGACAGAGCCTGCTCAGGGCACTCATAACTCTGACAAAAACTCTAACAAATCTGAACCAGTAAATAAAATATACAATGTTAGAAACTAAATGATTTGATAATAGGAGTGATTTTAAGGCAGTTTATAATACACTCCTTGGGTCTTTTGTGAGAAAAAACCGAGAAGATTCTTAATTTATTTGAAAGAAAATAGTCAATGTCGAAATTTAAGGGGAGATTACAGGATTTTTAAACTGTGGTTGTGGCTTTAAATACATATTATACAATGTATTTGACTAAGTCTTGTCTCGTAAAAATCTTGTTTTAAAGAATAAATTAGCAGCTCCCCAAATTCAGATAATATAAAGATTTTAAAAATCTTAATTAAACTTAAAAATTCACTCTCAGAGTTTTCAACGATCCTCTCCAAAACGTGCTCCTGCTGCCTACTGAACTTTTGTTTCAGGGAATACCAAGGCAGACCACCACGGGACCCTCCTCCAACTCGTGGGCCCTCGAGCTCCTCAACGGGGCAGAAGGAGCAAGGCCCAGGTGGCGGCCCCACGGAGGCCAGATCCAGGGGTGGGTCTCAAGGTTGCCACCCAAGCCCGGCTTTCTGAAAGGGGACAAGGGTCTGGACACTGACGACCAGCGGGCGCAGGGGTCCCACAAGTGTCTGCTCGACAGCGCTGCACAGCGGTCACGGGGTCCTGGTATTTCAACCCGCAAGTCGACTTCGAGCTTTGCTTTGGAACGACCCTCCAGGACAAATGAACATGAACTTAAAGGAAAAGCTGGCCGCACCCCCATGCCGCGTTTTTAAAGCTGTTCATCTTGCGCTGACTTGAGCCCGTAATCCCTGGGAGGTCCCGTCCTTCCAACAGTCACTCGGGGCGGTGCCGCAAGCGGTTTACAACCCAAGTCCACAAATTCAATCCGCAAGTCTAGGCGTTTGCTCAGCGGCACGGGCACGCGCACCAGCACGGGGCTGCACTCGGAAGACGAGACACCGCGCGGGCTCTGAACGCCGTCCGCACCTCGGCCACCCGAAGCCGGAGACCGGGAGTCCCGGCAGAGACCCGACCAGCCACCCGCGAGGAGGCCAGACCAGCCACGGCCCCGGCCGAACGCCGCCCTTTCCCCACCCCGCGGAGCCCAGCCTCCCGAGGGTCCCCCTGCAGGTGCCCCGTCCCTGCAGGCGCCCCCCACTCGCCAGGGCCCCCATTTTTCCCCCAGCTCACCATGCAAGCTCTCCTCCTGCAGCCCGAGGTTCTCGCTCTGTGAATGCGGTGAGAAGGAGCTTCCGGGGGGCGGGGGTCAACGTCGAGGTCGGCGTTAACGTGAGGTTGGGGTCGGCGTCGGGGTCGACGTCTGGCTCAAAGTCCGGGTCGACGTCGGGGTCAAAGTCCGCGTCGGCGGGCGGGAGCTGGGGCTGGAGCTGGGGCTGGAGCTGGTGCGGGAGAGGGAGCGGGAACCCCGGGCCCAGCTGCTTGAGCGCTTCCCCCACTGACTTCCAATGTATTTTCTATACCCCTTACTCTCCTCAGGTACTCCAGTTATGTGTGTATAAGGCAACTTGACTTTGTTCTACACCTCACTGATGTTCTGTGCTTAAAATATGTTTTCTGTGCTGTTTCTGTTGCTACGTCTTCAAGTTACTAATGTTTTCTTCTGCATGCATTGTCTAATGTGTCGTTAATCACATTCACTATATTTTTCACCTCAGATAGTTTCATCTTCTAGTCTTTCTCTAGAAGCTTGATTTGGATTCTCTTTTAATATTTTCCGTGTTTCTATTTAACATGTTTAATTTTTCTTCTAGTTTCTTGAACATATGGAATACAGTTAAAACGTATATTTTAATGTTGTAGTCTCTTAATTATATATCTATGTTAATTCTGAGTCAATTTCAAATGGTTGGGCTTCCCTGGTGGCACAGTGGTTAAGAATCCGCCTGCCAATGCAGGGGACACAGGTTCGAGCCCTGGTCTAGGAACATCCCACATGCTGCAGAGCAACTAAGCCTGAGCGCCACAGCTACAGAGCCTGCGCTCTAGAGCCCGCCGGCGAGCCACAGCTACTGAAGCTCTGGCACCTAGAGCCCATGCTCCATAACAAGAGAAGCCACCGCAATGAGAAGCCCGCTGACCACAACGAAGAGTAGCCCCCTGCTCACCGCAACTAGAGAAAGCCTGGGCACAGCAAAGAATACCCAACGCAGCCAAAAATAAATAAATTAATAAATTTTTAAAAGTTATTTTAAAAATTTCAAGTGGTTATTTTCCTCTTAATAGTTGGTATTTTCCAGCTCCTTTGCAGACATGGTAATTAAAATTTTTTTTAACTTTTAATTAAAAAAATTTAAAAATCGTTTTAATTTTTTAAATTAAAAAAATTAAAACTTTTTAATTTTTAAAAATTAAAAAAAATTAATTTATTTATTAAAAACATTTTTTTGGCCATGCACATGCCACGTGGCCTGAAGGATCTTAGTTCCCTGACCAGGGATGGAATCCATGCCCCCTGCAGTGCAAGTGTGGAGTCTTAACCACTGGACTGCCAGGGAAGTCCCACATGGTAATTTTTTGTTGGATGCTAGACATTGTGAGTTTTACCACTTTGGGTGCTGAATGTTTTTGTATTCTTATAAGTACTCATGAGCTTTGTTCTGAGACATGGTTAAGTTAATTGGAAATAGTTTGATCCTTTTGGATCTTGTTTTTAAGCTTTGTACACAGGACCAGAGCAGCATTTAGTCTAGGGTTCACTTTTTGCACCTACTGAGGCAAAACTCGTCTGAGTACTCTACCTAATGCCTTGTGAATTTTGATGTCTTTCACTCTGGTTGGTAGGAGCAGATACTATTTCTGGCCCTATGTGAGCTCTAAGGCTTGTTCCCTCTAATACTTTGGGGTGAATATTTCTCCATTCTTAAGTGTTTCCTCACAGGCATAAGCTGATAAGTATTCAGCTGAGTACTCAAAAAGAATGCTTTGCAGATTTTAGAATTTTCTGTCTATGAAACTCTGTCCTCTTTGGTATTCTGCCTTACAATCTCTAGTTTTCTTGCCCTCCCTAGGGTCCCAACTCTGTATTCACCTCATGGAGACTGCCAAACTGTACCTGAGTTTTCACTCTCTGAACTATAGCCTAGAAACTTTCTGCAGGCAGTAAGCTGGGGCAGTGACCTCCACCTCATTAGTTTCCCATATCTCAGGGATCACAGTCCTAATTTCCAGTGTCTTGAGACCTGTTGTTTCATATATTTTGTCTGATTTTGCAGTTGTTTCAGAAGGGAGATCTTGACCAGAAGCATCTAAGAAGACAATGAAGCAAGAAATTCTTTCTTAGGGAAAGAAATTTTAGCTTAAAAATAATAAACCTAGCCAAAATATTATTCTAGTACAAAGGCAGCTCATGGATTTTTTTGAACATGAAAGAATTCTATAAATACAAGACCCCTGATTCATTCTTGAAGAAAACTTATTCAGCGAGGAAATCCAGCTAAGCAGGCAATATGTGAAAATAAAGGATAATGGTAACTGGACTTTAAATCCATTAACATGTATATAATTAAGATATATAGGAATTATGACTATATAGGAATTATGGAAAAGAATGTTATAAACCTTGACAAAGTAAAAATATTTTTATATCAGATAGATTTTTTGTTTCAAGCAACAAAAGCAGGCTCTGGATAATTTAAACAAACAACAATAAAAACTTTTACTGGAATCATGAGGGAGGACCACTCACAGAATCAGAAGACATGCTGACTATATAGGCCTTAGAGAAGATAGGTACCTGAGAGGTTCCAAGGATCTAGATCACAGGTGTCAATTGGCTCCAATCATTTTCTTTACTTGGTTTATAAAGGTCAAATTATAGTCAGAGACTCATATTTGTCTAGCTTGGATACCGTACTCAACTCTTAACTAGCATAGGGAAAACATCTTGGTTGAAAATCTCCGAAAGACTTGATGTAAAGTGGTTAGTTTGGTTAGTTCCCCAAAAGAATATCAGTTACTAAAGTAGGGTGGGAGGATGTTTGTTAGATCAAAACAACAGATACCCATTACAGTAATTAACAAAAGTAAGGGGATGGTAGGGGTAGTGAGGAAGTTTGACTGCTAATGTCATTTTTCATGGCAAGAAGT